TATATATATATATATATACACATATGTGTGTGTGTTGTGTGTGTATGGCAAATACTTGTTTCCTGCTTTGATAATAAGTTGTATTTCACACCTCGAGTGATTTATCAATCTTTATCCAAATCATATCATATTTGTTCGAAGCGAGGAGATCCTTATCGACGTTCTATGACTTTTATCGACTACAAAATGTAATCGCCTCTTCATCGAATCAACACTTATCCGTTATCTCGACATTGTATTTACAGATGAAAATGTTGTGGAAACGTTCGATATCGTGAACGATTTCATCGTCAATTACCCTCTATCGATCGATATATATTTTTAATATCTTCGTTATTAATGGAAAATCAATCGTAATTCGCTTTTTTCCCCTGGAATCCTACAGTTTATTCTTTTTCTAATAATACGCTTATCCCGAAAGAAATACTTTCTAGAAAAAATTGTAAACAAGATAGCGCACATACACACACACATATATAAATATTACACTTTGGTTTTGATCACAGATAACGAAAATGGCTTATATACACCTTAGTTTTCTTCTACCCAGAGTTTCATTAAATATTTTCCAAAGAAAAATTGAATGATTTTAATTCGAACGCTTAAAAAGATCGATCAAAAGGGAGAGAAAATGATCTGTTTATAAAGTTAGAAGGCATAGACGATGTTGCTGCTGCTGACGTTCATAATCCCGTGAAGGAAGGAGCCAAAAAGATGCTTTTCAAGCGTCAACGATGTGTGATACAGAAAGAAGAAAAAGAAGAAGAAGAAGAAGAAGAAGAAGAAGGTTAAGACGATCCCTTTGGATCTTTTAACGGCACTATCTTCACGGGTGGTTGAGTCAGCAAGCATCAACGACACCGGTGAAAACTGCTGAGAACAAGGCTTGCGCCTTGGTGGATGCAGGTGCCGCAAGAAGGCTCGCGTGAAGATGAAGGGGTTCGTAATGACTTCCTCTTTTGCCGCCACTCACAAAAGAAGACCCACCGCGTTCGGCGCGCAAAAATTCCAGATTGAAATAACTCCGCTTTGCCGGCTTTAACTCTTTCGCCGAGGTAAATTGACTTCGGGACGAAAGAAGGAGAGGTAAACCGGCAATAATTTTTCGTTTAAACGTTTCCATGAACCCGAGGGTTGGGCCCCGTTCTGCGACCAAGCGTTAACAAAACGAGAATAATGCCAAACGTGATTAAAACTTTTCCCAGCTTTTTTATAAAATACGATAATAAAAAAAATATAATAATGCCTATTAAATTATATAATAATAATATAAAATATAATATAATATAATATATAATATAATATATAATATATATAATATATATAATATATATAATATAATATAATATATAATATAATATAAATATAATATAATATATAATATAAAAATTTTACAATCTCAAAGAAACTTCTAAACTGTGAATCAAATTCAATTGACGTTCGATTTATATTTTTATCATTTCGATAATACGAATATAATAATAAACATCAAAAAACAAGTTAAAAATCGAGTTATCCGAGTTAATCTCGATAACGATACGAAATTTTGTATCGATAAGAGTTATTAACCGTTTCGAATCGTTTCAAAAAAATACACACGTCTAAAGTTTTCAACACCCCTTTCCACCCTTTCCACCGCGTCCACGAAACGTTTAGAACGAAATTCGAAAGTTGGTCGTTGATCATTAGTGGAATCCATGCCGGAAATGATCTTCTCGACGTGAATGGGCCAAGACGGGGGAGGAATGCGACAGCCCGAGGTCAGGATTATCGTCGTATTTACCGGCGACTGGGGGTGGGAAGGAGAAGAGCTGGGAAACGTTTACGTCCGCCTTTCTTTTCGCCCCCCCTTTCTTTCGTGTTTTGCGGGCTGGCTCAGACAGTCGCTCTTATTATATCGTTAAACCATTTAATTATCTCGGCAAACTACTCCCCAGGAATATTCGGCCCTGCCTTAACGAGTGTACACGGTTTGCCAGAGGGTGGACGGGTGATGGCGCGCTTTTCCTCCTTCCTTCCTTCCTTCCTTCCTTCCTTCCTTCCTTCCTTTCTTTTCTCTTCTTCTTCTTCCTCCATCCACCCCTCTTCGATCCTTAAGCGTTAAAACGGCGCGGCGTGGCCTCTACAATTTGTCTGAAACTCAACCGACACCCCCTCCTACTAACCTCCCTAACGAGGAGAAACTACCGGGAGGGGGGCACGTTTATAGCCGTTTCCTCGAAACTTTTCCCCTCCCCCCATTCTCCGTCCCTTTCTTTCTCCTCGCGGTTTGGCGGAAAGGCCGCAAATAAAGTCGCCCGCCCGCCACTTGTTTCGTACTTTCGGGATTTACCTCTTCGTCTCCGTCGGTTCGTGGAGGGGGAATTCGAGGGTTATTTAAACGGGACCCGCGGATGGAAGTTTGCCACCGTGATTTGTGTATCCCCTTCTCTCTCTCTCTCTCTCTGTCCTCGTGGAAAGTTGTGTCCCCCGGCACGTAACGAGAGGGCCCCTGAATAACCGGGGAAAATTAAATTACGATCGATGACTGCAACGTTTTTTTCTCTCTCTCTTCTTTTTCTTTCTTTCTTTCGCCTCGCGCTAAGGGAACGTTTAGATCGATTTGTCGCGCGATTTCAGAGAACAGAGAAATATGGAATGGAAGGAAATCTTTAATTTTGGGTTTCGTTTCTCTCTGTTTTTTTCTTCCTATCTCGGACGATGATATGGAACGAAACGATATATATTTGTTCGAGGATTTTATGTTTTTTTCACGATAAAAAATAGTTAACGGAGGCGCGTTTCATCAGTGTTCGATGATGCCATCGATTCGAATCTAATCTCGGGGCCACTCGTCGGGATCGGCGTGTCATCGGTTGTTGTTGTTCAAAGATTAGATTTCTGGATTGGGAACGTTTATCCCAGGGAGAAATCTTGATACACTTGTCAATTATATCGATTTAATCACATGTCGAAGCGTAAAAAAAAAAACTTTAACGGTTAATCATTAGCGATTTTACAAACTTGTCGTAATAAAATATATTTTCTACGAATTGAAAGTGATTGATCGATTTTATTATAACATTTTATTTTTATTTTTCTTTCTCTCTCTCTCTTTTTTTCTTTTTTCTCTACGTTTCAACAAATAAAACGATAAACACCTCTCACAAAAGTATTAATAAATACTTGTTTGATATATTTGATATATTTCTATTACACGCACTCTTACATCTTATCTCGTATCATTTTAATTTTATCTCTCTCTCGAACGATAAATAATTTTAATTGGTTCACCTTGGAATATCCATTTTTATCCTCAATCATGAAAAATAAAATCGATTTTATTTTATTAATTTAAATCCGTGCTTTTTACAACAACTCGTCGATGCAAAAGCATTTCGTGAGGGAGAGAAAGAGAAGAAAAATGTCGTGATCAGGGAGGAAGGTAAACTATATACTCTTCGAGGTGATAAAAGTCGAAACTTTCCTGATCCGTTACAGCAACAAAGGCCAGACCTGCCAAGGCTTCTTCAGCAGGTGCACGCCCAACAACTACCACCTGGCGCCGCTATGGGCCCGCATCCAGGTATACCTGGCCTACCCGGGCTCGGTCCTGGTGCTGGTCTTCCCGTTCCTACGTCAGCCTCCGCAGCACTTCTCGGATTAGGTATTCCACCGGGCGCCGCGGCAACCGCTGGTGGTACAGCTGCTCATCCCCTCTCGATGTTGACCAAACCGGACATCCATCGTCAAGCGGACGATTTAAAGCACAATGGAGGTAAGCAGGTCCCTTTCGAAATTTCTCTTCGAAAATTAGTCGATTAAAATCCCTCGAGATATCTCTCGATGAAGATATGAAGCGAACAGGAATTTTTAAAAGAAGGAAAGAAGAATTAATTTGATAATTTCTTTTCTACAATAGAACTCTTTACGTTACGCACTTTTGTAAATATAAAATTGATAAATAATCGGAACGAGACCGAGTCAACGACGAGTTTTCGTATCATGGAATTTTATCCAAATTTTCGACGAAATATGGATAAATAATTGCTTTTGGTAATAATGGTAATCTACTTATATAAATTCTCGTAAGCCGTAAAAGCCGTGTTTTGATTTAACCGTGTAATTAGTATGATACGTGGTTTACATTCCATTCGAAGCAGGAAATAATAGAGTAAAAAGTCAGAAGATCAATGTTTTTGCACGTTGTTGCACCATCATGCTTCACAAGTGATAGATGTATCCTTAATTAAGCGTATACCTCATTAAGACCCGTGAAATTGCAATTGCTTTTTTTATATCGTTTAGCTGTACGTAGCCGGTGTGGATAATTATAAGCGTTTTAAACAACAAGAAAAGGAAAAGGATAAGAAATTAATCGAGGTGTGTTATTGTATACCAAACGAAACCAATCAGTCGATAAATCTAATTCCTATTTATTATACATTTCCACTCTCCCTCCTCTAGTGGCGAGGAATTACGTAACGAAATCGAAGGTATTTAATAACTCATCTGAAAGGCTAATCATTCAGATTGAACAGATAGATTTTATTATTTCATTCGTTCTACGTACGCTCGAAAACGAAAAAAAGGAAAAAAAAGGATAAATAATTCTCTAAGTTGCATGACCTATCCCATAAAACTGTTTCGCAACGGTTACAAAGAACAATCAACTCCTTAACAGTGATCAGCCGTTAATCAAATTTTCTTCTTCGTCAGCCTCTCCACTACCGCACCCAGTTGAATTTTTCCTATTACGCTAGAAACAAACAGAGATCGATAATGAACGTTTTCCAAGATGATACATTATCAACGTAATTTATTAACCACGGTTAAAAAGGAAAAGAAAAACCAAAATTATTCGTAATAACGAGATAAATTATATATATTCTTTTATCTTAAAACGAATTATTCTCGTAAAATTGTAATGGTTCTCGTTTATTTTCGAAGAAACGAGAAACCACTCCGTTCGCAGCGTAAAAAAAAAAAAAAGAAATGCCACCTGTTCTCTCGACGAGAAGAAAACGGTATTCCGACACCGAGCACGACCGGCGTTGTCGAGCAAAAGGAGGGGGAGGGGGGGATTCGATTTACAAAAGCCGCTGACCTCCGGTGTCTCGCTTTCGTTTTCGCGCGGTCAGCATCTTTTCTCCCCCCTCCCCCGACGAATATTTTGCGTATCGAACGCCAAGTTGCAACCGAGTTTCGAAGAAATAACGCCACGTTCGGTCGATCGTGTTTCTCTTGCAATCCGGCCCCTTGTTTTTCTACCTGTTCCTCTTATCTCCAGCCTCTTATGGGAAGCGTTTGCAACCGGATCCTCATGAGACGATTCTCGCTTTGCATTCCGTTCGATTACCACGACCGAAGCAAACGAAGCTGTTTTCCAAGTTTTAAGGGGGATAAGGGGGGGGCAAAGTTTCGAAACCGCGGCTTCGATAACTGTGCCAATAATCAAAATTCTCTCGTGGCGTTGTTCAATTTCCGAAAAAATAAAGTTCCAAGTTTGAAAAATCTTTTTTAAATAAATTTTTAATTTTAGTGCCGAGTGAGAGAGTGTCTTGGATGATTGATGTACATATTGTTTCTTTCTACTCGTCAAAAATTAATACCCGTCGCTTTCGATTTTTCCATCGAACGCGTTAATGACGTTAATTTACGTTAAAAATGTTAGCAAGAATCTTTTCTTTTTCCCGAATTTTTTCAATTTTAACTTCGAAACTTTTTAAACTTTGTATATATACATATATATATGTATACACATTGTTCAGTCGCGGTTATTGAATCGGTGACCCACCTTTGTTCGGTCAATAACATCGTCCCGTGACATTTATTTTCCAAAGTATTATTCATCAAGTGTGTTCACTTCCTATCTCCAACATGTAAATTCATACGACTGACTCGGCAAGCAAAAGGCTAAACTTGTTTAACATACACACGTACATATTTAACTTACCGCACGATATACCGACCACGTTGCACAATGTAACTTTTGCACACACTCTCGCTGTTTATCGAAATACCATGAATTTCACTCGCTATCTATCTTACTTAAAGAGAAAATTATAGTATCAATCTCCGAGATATCAAAGGAATTAATAACTCGTCGAAATTCGATCGTTCGCCATTGTGAAAGCGTGTGTCGAGAAAATTGATAGTAACGCGACACTGTAAGAGTGAAACACAAGGTAGTCGCACAAGAGAGAGGTGAGAGAGAGAGGGAGGGATGATGACAATGGAAACGCGGCGTGTGACACAGGAGGACGAAGAGGAGGAGGAGGAGGAGAGGATATTTCAAGCGGGCCGCAATAGAACGGTGACGCAAACGATCGTGCTTAAGCCTGAAACTCGCGGAACCCTCGATCTTGACCTCGAAGATCCACTTGTGCAGGCGGCGCGTCCTCGTCTCTCTCTCCTTGGGACGACACACGAGTGCAAGAACGTTCGCACTTAGGACCCGTGTAGCGCTGACAAAGTCGCGAGGGCTTCGAGTGACTCTCCTATCTCGCTCGCGCACACTCTCGTAAACACACCACGCGTACGACGCACACGTGCTCACTCGCTCGTACGTGCAAAGCCTCTCCTTCCCGTCCCTTATGTTTCGTCGAACCTCCTCTTTCTATGTGTGTGTGTGTGTATATATATATATATATATCTCTTTCTCGCGCGCTGTGCATGGTCGTCTCTCAGAAGAGCACTCAGAATCTCCTCTTGACACGAGAGTACTTCCGACTCTTCCCCTCTTTCGTTCCATCCACCTTTAGATGGCTCTTCTAAACCTTCGCGCCCCTCAGTCTGTTCCTCTCATCTCCTCCCAACCCCTTTGCCCTTCTTGCTCACTCTACTTCTCTTTCTCTTCCCCCTCGTACCACCCTCCCCCCTCCACTCACCACTCTTCCCGAGTAGTTGCCGTGCTCGCGCAATATCTCCAGCTACACTCTCGCCTAACTATGTTACCGTGGCCCGAGAATAACCCTCTCCCTCTTTCTCCTCCGACCAGTTGTTCCACGTTGTTGTTTCGCGTTTTCTTGAGCGTTGGTAATGAAATACCGGCCGATCCCTTCGCTACCGCGAGAGTTTGCACCGCGATCTCAGAGCAGCAGCCAATCCCCTCGATGCCTGTTTGAAAATTGCGCCACAGTGTTATAATCGTCGCAACGTGCAGCGTAACGACGTCTTCGTTTAATTTCCGTCTCAACCTCCATCTTCCCTTTATTTTCTTCTTCTTCCTCCTCTTCTTCTTTTTTGGTACTCGTTTCTTTTCCTTTTTGTGCGTGGTTGTGTTGGAACTCGACCGGAAACGGTGCACGCTTAATGGAGTTGCAGTTTGCTCGCCAACCGTGAAAATGGAGAACTTCTTTGGCTCGTAGGTTTTCTGTTTAGGGAAACGAAGGGTAACGGGTTCTTGAGAAGATTTTTATTCCATCCACTGGTGGAAAGGAAGACTTCCTTTTTTTTTCTCCAATCCTCGAAAGACCCTCTCTCCTCCATTCTTCCCGAATGCAAGAAAATGAAACAAGAATCCCGAATCGTTGAATCATTTCACCACACGTGGGTGCCACGTTCTTTCGATACGATCCTGCGGGAACAAACCGCGACATTTGAAATCACTGTCTCGCCTTTCCCTCTCTCCCCCCATCTCGTCGACACCCTTTTGAAACGTCACGGAGAGCGGAGGCAAGGAACCGTAATGGGCCACTATTTCTGTCGCGGCAACTGAAACTTCTTCCCTCCTTTCCGGAACATTGCCCCCGAGCGAATTGTTTCCAGCAGGGCCGTTATCGTTTCATCCTCCCACCTTCCGTCCATTTTCTCGCCCCTACCTCATCTTTCCCATCCTTCCCCTCCTTCCAAGTCTTTCCACCGACTTGCCCCGATTCTCCTCTCCCCCTCCCCCGTCGAACGACTCCTAACTAATAGTAGTAGTAGTAGTAATAGTAATAGTAGCGATATCTGCCCATTCATCCGATTCTTCTTGCCCGCTCGCTCGCGAAACGATTTACCAGAACGCGGATAGAAGACCTCTTTCACAGACGATTAGAAACCGGTATCGCTCGCATTACCATTTCATCGCGGAGATACTTGGCCGAGTAATGGTCCCCCAGAGAGAGAAAGAGAGAGAGAGAGAGAGATCGTGGCCGCCTCCCTTCGTGCGCGACGTAATTCATCCCCTCGTAATTCGTATCCGGATATCGTCCTCCTTTCTGTCGTTCCTTTTCCTCTTCTTTCTTTTTTTCTTCCTCTCCTTCTCGATCCTCTTCGATCGACGGACAAGTTTAAGTTTAAGTCGAGATCGGATCGTTAAAATCGATTCCTTGCATTACATAGAATGCTAATATTTCTTTGGAAGAATTTGTTCGTCGAACCAAAGATTCGAATTTCGATCGTGCATCAATAGTTCCAATCGTCCGTTCTACGTATAATAAATAAATTCTCGCCGGGAGGATAGAAAAATCGAATTTCCCCCGCCAACTTCTCAATAATGCACATCCCTCTCTCTCTCTCTCTCTCTCTCCTTACCCTTTTCCAACCTTTTCCTCCCCTCTTCTCGCTGCAATTTTCCCGCTCTCTTCCAATGGCGGCGCCAAAAGTGGACGCGCGCGCCATCTCGGTTTGCCGCGCGGCAAACGAGCACTTCCTTCGTTTTTACCAGAGAATCACTCGCGCTGTTTTCCGCGTCCGGTTTTTCCAGGTGGCCAGCAAATGGCGGGAGGGGTGAAGAAAAGGGTGAAAGAAGCGAGGCCGAGTTGTCCTCTCGCCTCGAAAACAGGACGAAGAGAGGAGAGAAGGATACACAATCCGCGACTCTGAGAGCGTCGTCGAAAATGCTTCGTTTCGTTCTTGCTCCTCCCCTCCTCCTCCTTTACTTACTCACCCCCTTGCTCGACAGAGAGAGAGAGAGAGAGAGCCAAGTTGGATGCGGTCCACGGGCCAGAAAATTCACGACCCCTTTTCCGTTCGCGCTCCGCCACCCCCGACACAACCCCGTAATGGCCACGAGGGGTGGTGGATCCTTTTGCCAGCGCGCAAACGGCGCTTCTCCTTAATTTGCCCGACCATAAAACACACGACGGAGTCGACCCTCGCGGATACGTTTTATCGGCGTGCAAGAACCCGCGCGAGTGACGTCTTGCTCTCTCGAGAAAGAGAGAGAGATAGAGATAGAGAGCGAGAAAGAGAGAGAGATTACTTTATCCTTTATACAAGTGGCGGAGGGGGTTCGCCTCCCTCCGGAAACTTTATGGCGTCGGGTTTTTCCGTTTGCCTGCTCCTCGTCCCCCTCCTCGTTTCTCAGTTCCTTTGTCGGGAGGGAGGGAGAAGGGTATATATCCAGTCGGGGTTATTTCTTGTCGCTCTCGTCGACGATACCGCCGGCCGTTTTAAGCGTTGCTCCCTGCGGTATATAACGTTAATTCGTTCTTTGACCGTGTTTTGTCGCGGTGGGGATGTCTTGTCCCGCGCGCATAGGTGTTTTGGTGAATTGTCGGGGCTTTTAACCGGCTGCGTGCCAGCGAACGTAACATTTTGCGAGAAATGAAATATTCCGTACTTTGGATGATTGATAATTTTAATCTTTGGACGGAAGAGGGATTTCTCGCGCGAGGATAAATGGAGATTGCGAGAGGAGAGAGATTTTTAGAGGATAATTTTGATTTTTCGCCATTTGGAAAATGATAACGGGAAAATCATTAAATTACAGGAAATTAATCGGGAATAGATCGTTGAAATTTCTTTCTGCACTCGTGTATCGAATCGGAATTCGATTTTCTCGTCGATTGATAAAAATAATTGAAAAATAACCTCGAATATATAGAAATTGTTTAATGAACTGTTAATTTTCGAAATCACATCGAAGAAACTTGGTAGATTATATTTCTATAGAGTTTGATTACGTGTACTTATGGGCTTGAGCAAGAACGATTAAAACGAATATGGTTACGAGCGTTAATTTAGCAGCGTAGAAAGCTACGGTTGCAACGCAAGATATGCTGCAAGAAAAATAACTGATGTAAGCGCTTAATGGCTAAAAGTGAGCAGAAAAAGGCAGCGAACGTGTTGTTACATACGCGTTTAGACGTTCGAAAGATTGAGAAGATCGATTAGATAGCAAACTTGGCAAAACAGGAATTAATGATCGGTGTTTGTGCGAAAATAAAAACACTATCCGAGTAGAGATTTCTGCTGTTTCTGCAATCAATGCGCGTGAAATAACATCAAATATATGTTCCTCAAAATTACAATTACAAAGAGTTCAATGAGAAAGTGGAGTACTGGTTATGTTACTCTGGCTGATTTCAAGTTTTTAACGATTATCATTGACCGTTCAATCACTATAATCATTCGACATCCAACGCTCGATGTATCATTAGTATGATGAGTATAGAAACAACAAATGTTCAAAAAAAGAAGAAAGGTTTCTCTATTTATACTCTTTCGTATAGTATTTTTAGATACATTTAACGAGAGAAATCTTGCTTGTGAATAACTTATATTATTATTATTATTATTATTATTGTTGTTGTTATTACATGAAAATATATTTTTGATAATTAACTAGAGATAATTCTGGATTTTTGAATAAATTAGAAATAAGCTCAACGTTGCAAGGATATCAAATATCATATCCAGACGATTAAACGCGACTTTCTATCCGACGTATATCAAAATTCTAATTCTTCTTGTCGAGAACATTCCTCGAGTCACATTCAAAATTCCCACGATATCGTTCAATGCTCGACACCTTTTTTTTTTATTTTATCAAATACCTATCCTCTACTAACGCATCAATAAAAAAAAACAAAAGATAAAGAAGACGTGGTTAACCGTGTTCGAGAAACGGCTCGTTGTACGTCTTGTCGTAGGATGGGTAACAACAGGCGAAGAATAGTATCGTTAAGGTATTTCCTGACGAGACAAAGTGTACCCACGAAAAGTATAAAGAGACGAGAAAAGATGAAGAGGAGGGAGGGGAAGGTTTGGGGGAAGAAATCGAGCGAGGGCAAACTATGAAGAAGAAGCCGGGTTTCTCGAGGACAAAGCCTCTCTCTTTCTCTCTCTCTCTCTCTCTCTTCTAGTGGATCTTCTTCTTCTTCTTCTTCTTCCTCCTCCTCCTCATCCTCGACATCCCTTCTCGGAAATTCTCGAGGAGAGGAGCCAAGCCTACCTTCTCTCTTACGTTCTGCCACCTTTTTCCTTTTATCTCGCGGGAAAAGATTCTACCGGCATACCGCCGGAGTTGGTTCCGCAATAATCATGGAAAAACATGGCGAAGGTTCAATTTTCCGGGAAATACGACGGTCTTGAACGGGCAGAGAACGATGCTTGGAGTGTCTTCTTGAGGAGAGGAGTGTGGGATCGGAACGAATGTTCTCTTGAGAAACATTTTCGAGTACGATAATTAATTTTTAAAAGCTGTTTTAGATCTGTTCTGTCCGACTAAGTGTTGTTAAAAGATATCGGGTTAAATATATTTGGAAAATCGATGGAAAGTTTCGTTTCGAGGAACGGTTGAGCGATATTTTTTAAAACAATTTGTTAACGATTATTTATTATTAAATTATTTCCTTGGTTCATATTGTTCGCATCTAGGAATCTTATCAAGTTTTTTTTAAGTTTAAAAAATTACCAAGAATTGTACTGTGTTACGAAGGATCGCATTTCTAGAATCACGCGAAAAATAGAAAATCGGTAAAAACCGCGGTCTTCAATTATGTAAAATATCACGCGTCGTTTCAAGCGCAAAATGATATTTTATATCGAAGAAAAATGTGAAATGATCGCCTGCTATTCGGGAAAAAATTTATTTCGCATCATTTCTCGTAATTAATGTTTCTCTCGATAATTGGCCAATTTTGCGCGATCGAATGCAGGCTAATAATATGGTTTAACCACATTATTTTTAACGATTATTAAAAGGTTATGGTTATCTTCTTTTCATTCTTCTTTTTCTACCTTTAATACGAGGATAATATTTATCGTTGTTTCGAGGTGGCAAGGAGGCGAGACTAAATATGATATCTGTGCGTTAAATGAGTTGTTCAGCTTGAGAGGAAATAGTAGTATGAGACGATGCTTGCTCGACACGTTCTTGATTAAATGCTTCGTGACGCTGTTCACTGCGTTTAATATGGATTCCTCGAACAGCTTCTCTTCTCGAGGGAATAGTTAAGGCGCACCATATTTCATGATAAAATGTTTATTCGCTCGACGGTTATTTCTTAAGTCTCGTGTTCCGATGAAGTTTAACGCAAACTTTGTAAACTATATAACATTTTATCCATATATAGGAAAACTCTGATGCTCTTTAAATTTCCTAATTATTATTTGGGATCAAAAATATCGCGTAATATTACTTTTTCGGATGAATTGCAAATATCTTCTTGGTAAAAAAAATATTCTTTAAATATTCTTTTTGAACGCGCATGTTTTTTAAAAATGTTCATTGATAATGAATTATTCAATATTGATAGATTAGAATTAAATTAATTATAAAAATATTCAATGATTATTAATCGATTAATCGAAATTTAGTTATATATATATACTTTCTCCTCAATCGATCAAAATCCAAAAAAGAATTGAGAATAAATCATTGGTCCATTAACTGTGTGTATCCGTTTCGTGTGTTGCAGGTCTTAATCCGGCCGAGGAGAGGCATGTGAGTATGAAACAATTTATTCGATAGAGAAACGGTGCAATCGCGGTTCAGCCGAATGGGCAATCGATAACAGTCTATTAACAACGAATATGGTTATTCGCCCCGGCGTTCCATCGTAAATAGCAATATCGTTGCACGGGATGTCGGGATTCCCAGCGATCCGCCTCGAACACGACGAATTTCGATTCCGACCGAGACGATAATCCTATCGAGAAGGCGATGAACTTCTCCTCGCGACAGATTCACCCTTTCCAAGAAGCGAGTGCAGCCAACACGTGCACCGATAAGCGTTTAATCCCTGCAGCTACCTCCATTTCCGTCTCGCGTTTTCCGCTTAAACGCCACGCGACTGTACACGAAAAATTGTGCAAAGGGAGAGCAGCTTCTCTCTCTCAGTATAAATTTTTCCAAGTCGCAAAATTTCCAATTGAAATAATCTTTTTTTTTTTATACAAATTTAAAGATAGTTATAAACATTTGAATTGGAATTAAATTCTTGGAGAAAAATAGTGGATTTCAAAATTTTAGAGAACGTAAGTAAAAATTTACTTAAAAATTTGCAACGTTCAAGTTTAAAATTTGAGTATGGAGGTTTATATATAGAGTCGATTAATTCTTCTGAAACTTTCAATTTCAAATTTTATACGGATTATTTCACCTCGATCTCGATTCGGGGATATAAACTAAATGGAACGAAATTATTTACGTATCCATCGATCACTATTACCATGTTAAAAGTTTTTCCAAATAACAAAAATCCAACGACCAGCCATCGCAATTATTTTAGCCCCTCGT